GTTACGTATTGCTATTGTGAAATATCGGGTATAATTATTTCTTCTTTCGAATTTGGATCATGTTATTACCAGTGTCCTTTTTAATCCTATTTAAAGTTGTTTTGGCGGAAGCGTATGTAGGAATATTCGTAACGTGGTCATAGCTTTTTGGAATAAAGGGGACATCTCTTGACGAAAATTTTGAGATGATGTATATGACGACTCTTCTCACACTCTTTTTCTTGCATTATCAAATTGTTTATTTACCACTTTTGGGCCACATCAGGCTTACATAAATGATCGGAAAATTACACTATTTCTAAATTTTATTCATTACGACCCGATAAGCATCTTATCCTTTTCATTCAGACACATACCAATTTATCTCCCATTTCATTCCATTAAAATATGCTAAAAGGCTTACCTTTTATTGTTTCAATTATTTCATTTCTTATTGCATCTATGCAGAATACATTCTCACTTAGTTGTGTTGTCTAATATCGTTTCACAACTATAAACACTCGTATTGAAAATATGACTTGCACGCCGTAGTCACAATGATAATATAATAATAATTATTATCGCATTTACACGATAAATGTTTGTATCAAAGTGTAAATAAAATAACAGAAAAGAAAGGAAAGTTTGGTTTACTTGACAGTACAAGTTTTAATGTATTATTATGTGTCAGTATTATAAAACCAGTTCATAGGTATAAAATATATAGTGATTAACTGACATATATCAAAACTGAGTCAATAAATTGATAATTAAACAGCATAATAATTTTTAATAAATATTTTTAAAAAAAAAAACTTTTATATTAGAAAAATAATGTTATAGTTATAATTATAATAATAATTATTATTAATAATATTTTATATTATTATAAAATATATAGTGACCGCAAGTGCCACCAAAAAGGTATTAACCGCAACTGGACCGACCGCATCTGTGCCGTCACCATTTTAAGAATATATTTTACTTTATTTCACCCTTGTATCTTAATTTTTAATTTCAATATGAATTTTTGAAATCGGATGAAGACTTTTGAAACACACTGTATAATATGTAATATTATGCAGTTTATCAATTATAAGTATGTACTTACTTAAATTTTTCAACTTAATATATTTAATTAAAATTAAAATTTTACTAATTTTTATTGATAATAATTACAATTAAAATTATAATAGAAGAATATACACATTTTGTAAATTTAAAAAATTCAGTAAGTTAAAAATTACAAATGATTGAATTTTAAATAAATAAGCATGGTAAATGTCAATTATAATTAATCGCTTATCGTTTATAGAATAACTATATTTTATAATTTTTTTAAAATTATGTATATTTGATTATGTGAGAAAATTTGATAATAATTAATTAATAATGTATTAAGTTCATAGGTATAATTTTAACTGGAAACATAATTATTTAAAATTTTAATTTAGTTTTGATTAATTTAGATTAATTTAGTTTGCTTTAATTTTAGAAAATATAATATTGGTTTATGATAAATGTAAAATTTAATTATATAATTACTGAAAGACACAAACATATTAATTAATTTTCTGTTACTTTTATCAAAAGATGATTGATATTTTATATCATCTCTAATATTAAGTACAGAATTTTTTTTAATTATATAATTAAATGTATGGAAAAACATACTAATGTTAGGATACATATTTTTTTGTACAGTGTATCTATATAAGTTTTTAAAATTATTTAAAATTGATTTGTCTGATGTCGTTTAGAGAAGAATAAAATAGTTAATTTAACGGTTAATTTATATTTTGTATCATAAATTCATTGAAATAATGTTTACTTTACATATTGGAACTGTGTAGTAAATAATATTTTTTTAAATAATTTTTCAGATTGTTGAAGAAGATGATACTTACAAAAATGATAAAACAAAACCTAAAATAAATCAAACTAAATATTTACTGTATAGTATTTTTGTTATAATTTTTTTGGTAATATCTTGTAAGTAAAATATAATTTATTTAATGATATTTTTTGTGATAATCATTTACTGTTAGTTAATTAAACTTTAAAAATTTCAGCGTATTACACTTTATATAAACCAGATTATGGTAACATAATTGTTAATGCCCAACCATTATCAGAACCTACGAATATGTATGCTGTTATTATTGATGCAGGAAGTACTGGTTCAAGAGTATTAGCATTTGCTTTTCAAAAAACACCAGGTACTTAAATAAAACTTCTTAATATTATATTATTATTTAATACTTATTATATTATAGGTAATTACTTAGAACTAAAAAATGAAATATTTGTAGAAGTTAAACCAGGCTTATGTAGTTTTGCCGATAATCCTACAAAAGTAAATGTTATGTTTTTAAACAAATATATTTAACCTAATAATGTTTAAAGTTAATTATATTTCATTTGTATTTTAGGCAGCTACATCAATTAATGAGTTATTAACCAAAGCTATCGATTTTGTGCCCGAACAGTATAGGGAAAATACACCACTTATAATGAGAGCAACAGCTGGTTTAAGGTTATTACCAGTTGCAATATCAGATGAAATTCTCAATGAAGTATTTTGTGTTTTCTGTAAAAATAAATGCTAGTTTCATTTTAAAAATTATTAAATTTTGTTTATAGGTAAAAACATTATTTAAAGGTAGTCCATTTCGTACAAATGAAAATTCAGTGGGGATCATGGATGGTATTGACGAAGGTCTTTTTTCATGGTTTACAGTGAATTTTCTACTAAGTAAAAAATATATATACATACAATCTAAGAATATATTTATTTTTTTAGCAGTTATAAAAATGGATTTATTTTTCAGATCATTTAAATCATGACGTAACAAATACAGTAGCTGCTCTTGATTTAGGAGGTGGATCTTTACAGATTACATTTCTCCCTACTAATTGTGATAAAATAAATCAAGATTTTATTATAGAGCGTCCAATAATGAATAAACGAGTAAACTTGTATAGCCACAGGTATATTAAAATTAAACTTTACTACCTAATATTATATTAACTTATTTTAAAAATATATTTTAGTTATTTAGGGTTGGGGTTAATGGCAGCACGAAAAAGTGTATTTACTATTGATAGCGACTCGTTAAATGTTACTAGCCCTTGTGTTCAAGAGGCAGCCAAAGAAATACCTTTCAAATTTAGTCAAAATATCTACCGTGTAACGTAAGTTTTTAATTTAAATTCCTGTTTTAAAAGAACATTGCACCTTCATGTGTTGTCTCCGACTTACACACATACAGTACATCAGATTATATTCTTATCTAAAATTTTGATAAATCAAATCACTAATATCAAAACTAAAAGCACACTATTGAAACTGGTGAACAAAAATGTATTATGTCGTATGTGTGTAAGACTGAGACAACATATGGGGATGCGATTTCCTCTTAATAATTGTTTAAAACGAGTTTTTTTTTTTTATTATTATTAAAATATGAAGTATTTTAGTCTAAAACCATTTATTTGGACTTATTTTGCTATATTATCATATTATTATGTATTTATTTCAGTGGCGCGTCATCAAAAGAAGATTTAGCTATTGATTACCAACAGTGTAAGAATATCATTGAAACTGTAGTTAAAAATATACATATTGACAAACCCGAAGATTTTCTCAAACAGAAAATAGTAGCATTTTCATACTTTTATGGCAAAGCTAAAGACGCTGGCCTTATTGGTATGTATTAGATTTTAAACATGAAATAGTATTTTATACATTACAATTAATTGTTACTACTTTATTTATTATTGTAATTTTTAGGCATTGAAGGAGGTGATGTTACCATAAACTTGTATTATGAAGCAGCAAAAAGAGGTAATCTGTTGTTATTAATAATTAAAAATTGTTTTAAACAATACATTTTATTTTTCCAGTATGTTCCGATAGAACTTATGATGAGCTAAATCCATTTAAATGCCTTGATTTAATATATATTTCTGTTTTATTGGAGCAAGGTTTTGGTTTACCTGTTGAAACTACAGTTTCTGTAAGTCGTTATCATTATCATAATTGTTTGTAATTATTCTATTATTTATCAAGATCTAATATAGTTATAAATTTGTTATTTAGTTAATGAAAACTGTTAAAGGATGTGAAATAAGTTGGGCACTTGGAGCGGCTTACAATATTTTACATCATGGACTTTAAGCTCTATTTATTTATACTATATACTTATTAATAAATAAATAATATAAATTATGAAACAAAATAACCGAAATTAGTTATTTTTTATGTAATTTTAAACATCAGTATACTTACCTATCAAACAAAATATTTTCTTAGTAAGAGAAATTTTATAACTTCATAATCAAATTAATTAAGCCACAAATATAAAACAGAGTTAATTTATCTTATAAATGAAAAATATTATTATTTAAGTCATTTAAAAAAATCAAATATTTTCTTTATTTTTATAGGTGTATACTTAAAACTTTTAAATGATAATTTTAAATGATTATTTTTAAATAATACCTAAGATTATTTTAACTACCTACAGTCTACAGATAATACTCTAGAACTTGTAAAATCAAATTTAAGTAGTTTTACTAAATAAAATATACCTATAATAGCTATTACACATTTTCTCTTTCATAACACTAGTTATTGAATTTTAAGATATCTAATGCATTAATATTTTTAATCATATTTAACTATCTCCATATGAATATACTAGCCGACCCGTCACAGCTTCGCCCGTGATTGGTTTTTTATTTTGCCTTCAGACCATGATATGTAGAATTTTTTATTCAAATATTATTGTTTAATGTGATCGGCAAGTAAATATAAAAAACGGTTAATGAAAACGGATTGAAATTTTTCTAGCGTTATAAATGATAAAAATAATAAAGATAAAAAAGAAATAATTTATGATTGATAAAGAACTTTATTGAAGTTGAAGAAAAAAAAAGAAAAAAAAAGAATTAAAATAAGAATTTTATAAGACTTCTGAGTATATGATGTTTTTTGTTATATTTCCTGTTGAAATTAAAATCATAAGATGATTCGGGTCCCCAGTTCGAGAAAATGCCACGTATAATTGCCCATGTGAAAAGCACTCTGTACGAAGATCTACGCCAACGTACTTGAATGTTTGACCTTGCGCTTTGTTTATGGTATTGGCAAAAGAAACTTTAACCGGGAATTGAAGCCGTTTGAAAGAAAACGGTAAGTCATCATGGAAATTATCATGGGAATCATGGGAATTCATGGAATAAATGCAATTTCTCCTTTCGCTGGCCCTGTAAGAATTACGGCTTCTATAATATTATGTCGCAACGATTTTATTTGTAATCTTGTACCGTTACATAAGTTCGGTGGTTGAGGAGGTTTATGAGGAGGAAATCCCGAAGGAGAAAGAGAATTGAGAAATTCTTGTGGATAATGAATAGCATCATCTGTTGATGTAACTGTATCAATAGATAGCCGACCCGTCACAGCTTCGCCCGTGATTGGTTGTTTATTTTGCCTTCGGACCATGATATGTAGAATTTTTTATTCAAATATTATTGTTTAATGTGATCGGCAAGTAAATATAAAAAAACGGTTAATGAAAACGGATTGAAATTTTTCTAGCGTTATATTTGATCCGACTGACATAAAATATATTTGTAAAATTTAGCTTATTTCCACTTCAGGTAATAAACTACCTATTAAATGATGCACTTGACCCTGAATTTAAAAGAGGCATGGTTCTTCAGCTATTGTTTGCTCCAATGATGTCATTTGGAAACAGAGTATTATAACAGGTCTGTATCAAAGAAATGTTTTGATAGAGGGTGAGAATTATCAATTAAACTTTTAATTGGGTCTGGAAGATCTCGAATTGGTGTAAAACAACTTATCAGCGCAGCAAAGTCTATGGGTTTCATCTTTCCATTTTTGCATGGCACTTAGACACAATATAGTCATTTGTCCAATTGAAGCGCTTTAATATTTAAATAACCAATCTCGGATTGATAATTAAACGCTGATTTCATACCAAAGCGTTAAGTTGCTCCTGTGCAAGTTTGAGAACGTTCTGGTGTGTTATTGTTGCCTTCTATTATACATTCGAGTTGCACGCATTGGCGTTCTTCTGCCAATGCGTGCGTTTTACCTCGGCAATATAATGAATTAGCCACACGATTTAGATTTGTATTTATATTTGTTTTATTTTGCAACCTGTTACACAGTCATTTTGATATCGTCTACTATCGATATTTGTATTATTATTATATTTATATTTTTATTCACAGGGCGCCACCGCGTAACTCTATAGTTTTGTCTCTAAATCTCTAACTCATAGGAGTTTCTGAAAATCCTTTCTTTAGTGCGCCTATACATAGTAATAAGTACATATCTGAAAATTTCAAATAAAATCCGGTACGGTAGTTTTGGCTGTACGTTGATTATTGGTGCAAAGTATACTCTCTTAGCTATAGAGATTGATAATTTTATTTTTATTTTTAACAAAAGCTATTTTGCAAAAATAATAATGTATGCCAATTGCATAATATTATTATATTTGTATTAATAATTGAAAATATATGTCGGCGGGTATACCTACCTAAAAATAACAATAATAATATTATAGTAGTATAAAGCAACTGCTGTAGCCAAGTTACTTTCGTCATCAAACCGCATTTTCATATATGTATTTAATTGACATAATATAGTAATAAGACGAAATGCAATTTATTAGAAATTATTAACGCATGTAACTATAGATGTTACTTAAAGTTATAATTTATAATATTTCATATAGGTATATGGCGTACCTATGTTACAGCTAGTGTTAAATTCCGTTATTTTATAAATAACTAGGCAGTTCATGAATTACCTACGAATGTTAGTTTAAGTATGAATAATAATACATGAAAATTGTACTTTAACTAGTTATTTCATAGAATATCTAGTTATTCTATCCATTTCAGTTTGATATCCGTTAAAGTATAAAATACATTAAAATTTAAAATATATATTAAAATATTTTATTTTACTGAATTAATTATATATATTATTTATTTATTTATTTATATGTAAGGCTATTATGGCATTTAGAGTTGCATCAATACATCTTTTTCCTACAAACACATTCGCTTTGTGTCACATTTTTGGCAAGTGCACTAAAAACCCCGACCAGTTCTTGCGATCGGCAGTTTTCGTAGATTCATCGTAATATTTATTTGAACAGTTTCTACAATCAAATTTTCGAACATACTGTGAACTGGGATCGAGAGTATATAGTTGTTTATCACTCCAATTATAATGTGGTAGGTAGATATCAAATAAATAAAAATAAAAATAACTTGTATTATTTAAATTTATCTTACCATCATTGGATCCCAGTTGATAAAACCCATCGTCAGTTAATTTTAAACAACTGCAATAATTATTGAACGAGGATCACCCCTTCCTCTATCGACATCGGAAATTTTGATACGCACTGTAGAAACCAATATTAGCAACCGCAAATTAGTACCTATTTAATGAATTCTTTTGCCAGTTTTTCCAAACATACATTGCGGTCACCGACAAAAGGACGTCAATCTTATCTGATTTAATATGTTTATATTAAATTTTTGAAAATGTTAGAACTATATTTATTTATCATGATTTTCGTTACAATTTAATACATTAACGGCGATGCCAGAATGTATAAAATAACTAGTTAAAGTATAATCATATGTTATTAAGCACACAACTGAACGAAGTACATCA